AACCTATTTAGAAGGTGGATACACTAGAAATGATGGAATGCCAAACTGCAGATGAGGTAAGCAGGCTGGGATACATGTGCACCCCTGCACACGTTGTTGTACAAGAGAGAGGAGAGTGCTCTGGAAAAGAGTTACATATGCATAATTAGTTTAAGCTGAAATTAATGCTAACTTCAGCAACTTGGGATGCAGATTCACTATTAGTACTCTAGTCCACTTCCACCATATGGAGAAGTTGAGGATGCAAAGCCTTGATGAATTCCACACTGGAAAGTGCCAGAATGGAGTTCAGGCACAGGTGTCCAGGGTTTTCCTTGAGCCCCATGTGCTGGGTTTGTGTCTCTGTCTGCTGCTTTGGGATTTTACATGGATTTTACTTCCCAACATAGCCTGCCAGTGGCACACTCGGCTCCCCTCTGTGCCAGCTGGGTGTCAGCACTCATCCTTTCCAACCTCACCAATCCTGAGACAGGAACTCTGCGCTAAAACTGGGGGCAGGGGGACAGCTAAAAGGCTGTGTGAAGAATGGTTGGGAAATGATACTAAAAGCCATTAACCTGAAGTTACATATTCAACTTCTTTGTTGAATGTAGACAGGCCCTTGACTCATCTACAAGGAAGGGTGGATACTTACTGCTTGAGATTTTGAAATTCTGGGAATCCAGCAATATATTTAATGAGCTTAAAATCTTCTTTGGTCATTTTTAGAAGTCAGGATTATAAGACAGTTTTGGCGGGGAAGGAAGAACCAGAAGATGATGAGCAGCATTACTGTGTGTGTGAGGGGTGTTCAGGGGCTGGAGCCCCCAGCTCTGCAAAACTCCATTCCTTCATTTCATCCAGGGAGGCTGGGTTTAGCTCACGTTTGTATTGGCATGCTTGAGTGGTACAAGACTTTTGTTCCCAGAGACTGCATCTTCTGTCTGTTGTTTAGAGGAGATTTACGTGATATGCCCCAAACTGATCTAATTACAACCATAACCTTGCACAGAATGGCAGAAACTCAGCAGACTTGCCTGGCTAAGGCAGGGAAGGTTTTCTTCCTGCTCCTGCACCTCCTGAAGTGTTTGCTCAGTTTCAGAGCACAAAGGCGATTATATTTTTCAAAAGCCAAGCCAGTAAAGAGAATGCAACCTTGAATGCCTCCTCGCAGGAGTAGTCACATGTGTTTTGATTAACTCAGCACCAACACCGTATACAAACAGCAGTTCTGCGATGCTCACAATTAATGGGCCTCACACCAGCCTCAGATCTGCCTCTCCTGTGAGAGAGAGACACCTTCAGCACACAAACCCTCCAAAACCATCTCAGAGCCCTGCAGTAGCCAGGGGTGGATATATTATACTGCAAATGAAATCCAAAGACACGGAGCTGTAAGTATTGTGGTTTCAGAGTGACCCAGACCTCCTGGAGTCGTTAATAAAACATGGGCTTGTGATTGATTCGCACAAATCGCTTCCTATTACCCAAAGCCCAGGCGAGGGCAGCCGGGGCTGCTGGCAGAGGCTCCAAACCCGCCAGTGCCTCTGTGACTGGTGCTGGTGGAAGTGTCCCCGTTGTGGGCAACCTCCAGAAAGCAGGTGCTGAATTTACTCACAGGAAAAGATCAGGCTCCTCAGCGGCTTTCCCCGGAGGAACTTGAGGCTGGCAGAGCGTGCCCGAGGGTCCAGTGCCCTGCTCTGCTCCCGGAGCCGTGCGCTCTGCTCTTGCCCCTGGCGAGTCTCGCCCCGTCTCACCTGCTGGCCTGCGGAGCGAGGCTGTGCAGGCTGGAGCGGGGCCCGAGGCTGTGTGCAGCCGGTGCTAGTCCCACACGGTACCCGGTGGCTGCAGTGAGGCCGCAGCAGCAAAGTCAGGTTTGGGAGCAGGCATGGAGCGGGAGCTGCCATGGAGCGGGAGCAGGCATGGAGCGGGAGCTGCCATGGAGCGGGAGCAGGAGCAGGCATGGAGCGGGAGCTGCCATGGAGTGGGAGCAGGAGCAGGCATGGAGCGGGAGCTGCCATGGAGCGGGAGCAGCCGTGGAGCAGGAGCAGCCGTGGAGCGGGTCCAGGAGCAGGCATGGAGCGGGAGCAGGAGCAGGCATGGAGCGGGAGCAGGCATGGAGCGGGAGCAGCCGTGGAGCGGGAGCAGGAGCAGGCATGGAGCGGGAGCAGGCATGGAGCGGGAGCAGGCATGGAGCGGGAGCTGCCATGGAGCAGGAGCAGGCATGGAGCGGGAGCAGGCATGGAGCGGGAGCAGGCATGGAGCGGGAGCTGCCATGGAGCGGGAGCAGCCGTGGAGCGGGAGCAGCCGTGGAGCGGGAGCAGCCGTGGA